ACACTCCTGGCTCAAGTAGACATCCCATTTATGACCAAAATAATATGGAAAGTCTCTGTGCGCAGACATACAAATAATCCTACAATGAGAAGTAGAAAATGCAATTTGCCGATAGTAGGTCCAGGATGATTTCCATTCTTGTAAAAAAATATATAAGATGTATGTGACATATATTTGTATATGATTTGAACATATTTGGAAGACTATTTGCCCATCTGTTAGCAATGGCTACTTATGGGAAATAGGTTGGTGGGGGAGAGGCTTGAACTTTTTGTCTCACAGAATTCTGTCCTCTTTGGGTTTTTTCCACTTAAAAAATTTTTTTTAATGTGTGGAAAAAAATAAATAAAAACTATTAGCTCTTGGCTGTGCAGATCAACAAACCCAGACTAGAGGAAACTAAATGCCCTCCAAGACATCTCCTCTTCCCATCAAACTCCCTCCTGAGCCCCTGTGTACATCTCTCCATGAAGCAGCACGCCCCAAACTCACTGAGAATATTCCTTAATGCCTTCGGTCAACATGTATTTGCTGTGCATTTACTATGTGCACCGTGGATTCATGAGAGAATAAAACAGCTTCTTGCCTCTGTGGAGCTTCAGCCTGGTGACACAGTCCCTTTTCTGGCCTCTCTACGTGTTCTTTAAGGCTCAGCTCAGGGAGTCTCTCTTTCCTTCTTCCTCTTCTGCATCTTATAACATTTAATCTACAGGAGACTTTTGAAGATTCAAACCACCTTGACCACAGGGTCTAAAAGAAAGGCAACTGGATGGGTTCCATTTGTGTCTGCCTGGCCTTCATTTGGTGGTCTGCATTTTTAAGTGAACTGAGTACAGATGGGGGAGGCTGGTACCTCCTGGACCTTTTTTTTTTTTTTTTTTTTTTTTTGGTACTGGGGATTGAACTCTGGGGCACTTGACCACTGAGTCACATCCCCAGCCCCTTTCAAATATTTTATTTAGAGACAGGGCCTCACTGAATTGTGTAGGGCCTTGCTAAGTTGCTGAGGCTGGCTTTGAACTCATAATCCTCCTGCCTCAGGCCCCCCACCCACACCCCGAGCTGCTGGGATTACAGGCATGCATCACCATGCCCAGCTCCTGTGCCTTCTTGAAGTGTAGAAAGGTGACAGGAAATGCTAATGATGTGAACAACCACTCATATAGCATAGTGAACACTATAGAGAAGAAGCAGAATTTATAAGGCTAGGTACTAAAAAGAAATGGATGCTGAGCTTAAGGGTGAGGTTTGCAAAGGCATTGAAAGGAAGTCTGAGTTTAGCTGGGATTTGAAGGATGAAATAAAGTGATTCGGGGGACACAGCTCCAGGTGGGAAAATCCAAGGTGCACGGCAGCATGATTCCAGAGAGTCTGAGGAGCAGGGTGAACTGAGCAGGCTGGAGAGGTAGGTGAGGGTCAGGTACTGCATGGTTCTGTGTAACCTGTTTCAGTCTGTTTTTTCACTGCTGTAACCAAAAGCTCTAACCAAAACAATTTTAGGGGAGGAATGTTTTATTTGGGGGCTTGCGATTTCAGAAGTCTCTCTGTCCACAGACAGCTGGCTCCATTCCTCGGGGCTCGAGGGGAGGCAGGACATCATGGAGGAAGACTGTGGTGGAGGGAAGCAGCTCACATGGTGATCAGGAAGCAGAGAGAGAGAGAGACCCCAAAGCCACACCTCCAATGCCCCCTCCTCCAGCCACACCCACCTGCCTCCATCAGGGATGAATTCACTGATTAGGTTAAGGCTAGAACCCAATCATTTCTCCTCCAAAACCTTTTTGTATTGTTTCACGTGTGGGCTTTTGGGGGACACCTCACATCCAAACCATAACAGCAAGCGTCAGATCCTGTGTGGTTTTGTACACCACTTTAAGGAGTTTGGGCTTCATTCTAAGAGAAGATTGGGGATTATAGAATGCTTTTAATTAGTGACAAGATAACACTTGCTTTTTAGAAGGGCCTTCTGACTGATGAGTCAGGTAACAGAGGGCCCAGTGTTTCTAGCTCGGTACTCGACCAGAGTGTACACGACTATGCACAGATTGAGTATTAGCAGAGCAAAAGCTTTTCCATCCGGTCACGGGTTCCCTTGACCTCTTCTCCATCCATCTGACATTTTCTCCTATGGCCTCTTCTCCATCACCCAGTTCAAATAGCTTTAGAATTTTTCTCTTTCCAGAAAAGGCGGGGGGGCAAGACCTAAACATGCACTTCACAAAAGAGGCTACCCAGATAACCAATCCATTGGTTTAAAAAGGCAAATCAACTTTATTTTCATGATCAGTGAACTAAAATCATAAACCACCACACTGACTAGAATGGTGAACAGGGAAGACAGGACAATATCTAAATGTCGCTGAGAATGGGGAACCTCAGGGATGTTGACAAGGGTACAACTCTGTTCACATTCTTTGGAAAACTGACAGTGTTTTCTAAAGGTGAACATACCTTTTGCTCTATGGCCTGGCAATTGCACCCAAAGAACTATACAAGGCCATTTATCACAGCAACTCAAAATGGAAAATGGCACCTCAATGTAGATACATCAGTTATGGTATGTTTATGTATCAGGACGTGAAGCAGCAACAAAAATAAGAAATGAACCACAACTATAAAAGGTAGGACAGAAGATGCTAGATGTGAATGAATATATATATATATATATATATATATATATATATATAGTGACTGTAATTCCATCAAGATCTAAAGTAGGGAAGTTAATCGGTGCTATTAGAAATCTGGGTGGTGGTTCCCTTGGGGAGTCCAGAGAAAGCAGAAGTTGGGGTGGTGCAGGGACATGGGGTTTGCCAGGGACTGTCTGGTATGTTCTCTTTCTCAGCTTGGTCACTGTTCCACAAACACGATCACTTTATGATGAATTCACTGAGCTGTATGCTGAGGATTTGTGGACTCGTTTTCATGCATATTTTAATAACAGATTAAAAAGGGAAAAACAGAGAAAGCTCAAGATATCAAAGAAATAAAGAAGAAGGCTCAAGATGCCAAAGCCATCTTCTTATCTTTGTGTTTGTGACAGGATTGGGCTGGGGTTGTGGCTCAGCAGCAGAGCACTTGCCTAGTCTGTGTGAGGCCCTGGGTTCCATCCTCAGCACTAAATAAATAAATAAATAAAATAAAGGTATTGTGTCCAAATGCAATTTAAAAATAAAGATATATATATATTTCTTTATTTTTTTTAAAGAATGACCTCAGGGTTAAACCTGGTCAGTGCTTTCTTTCTGCTTTCTTCTGATATCATTTCCTTCCCTTGGCCCTTCTACCATGTCACCATACTAGGAGATGCTCTTTGACAGGATCTTCAGGTGCCAGATGGTGGCGAATTTTCCTTTTGAATGAATCTGTTTTATTTGTTTGTTTATTTATTTATTCATCCATCTATCCATTCATTCATTCATTCTGAGGACTGAACCCAGGGGCATTTAATCACTGGGTCACATCCCTAGCTCCTTTTTATTTTTTATTTTGAGACAGGGTCTCCCTAAGTTGCTCAGAGCCTTGCTAAGTTGCTGAGGCTGGCTTTGAACTTGCGATCCTCCTGCCTCAGCCTCCAGTGTCACTGGGATTATAGGCGTAAAGCACCATGCCTGGCTTCTTGTATTTTTTAAAACTTTGATCTTAGAGACATGTTCTTTTCTGACTTGGTTCTCGTTATGCCCTTTGGTTAGGTATCTAACCCGCTGGTTTACTTCCCCTCAGGGATCCTGAGCCTTTTCTTCTCTCTTCCAACGCGTATGTACTGGGCAGATGCTCCCTCTTTACTGTGCACATTTTTGAATTGTTTGCAATTGTTGCAAGAAATATGCTTTGGTTTCAAAACTCAAAATATCATAAAAATATATCTTTTAAAAAAAATCTTGGGTTTGCTAGTGCAACTTAACTATGTGCCAGCCATTAGGCGTCAAAATTTTCTCACACCTGAACGATATACACCCACTATTTGTGTTACCAGTTTTATGCTGGTATCTCTGGACTCATGCTTCTGCATCGATTTGTGTAACCATCGGGCAAGCTGGTTTAATCTTTTTACCTTAATTTCCTCATCTATAATGAGGATAATGCCAACCCTCTCCTCTTATGATTGTCAGGAGATTTAAGTGAGATGATACATGTAGAATGCCTGGCATAGAATAGTTGCTCAATAAATAGGGCAGAATTGCTGCTGATTTGCACCTGCAGACCAAGTAGTGTGAGATGTGCTTACTGGAGGGCTATTCTGCAGAGAACAACCAGTGACCATTTCACCTGTTCCTCTCAGAAAAGCAGTCATTTCCCTAAAACCTCAGCCCCCAGGAGAGGTCACCCTGATTTAGGGACATAAAAATAAAGCCAATAGGGCTACATGTGTTTGATTTCTTTCAAACATAGGTGATTATGTGGCTTAGAGGGGCTGGGGAGTGAGAAGAGTACTCCATATCTTAGAGAAGCTAGTGAGATGCTTTAACAAATATATAAGAATCATATATAATTGGCACACACTTTGTTTGAATGCAAACACTGCTGTTGAAGTGGTGCTTAAAAACAGTTTGTTGGCCTTCTCTTCGTACAGGAGAAACATTTCTCTCGTTTACACTACTCACTTGCTTAGCAAACCCTTATTTATCCTATAATGCAAGCGTAATCTGCCCAACATGTCCAAATGCCCACAGATCCTGAATTAGTGGAGTCTGAATTAATGGAATTCGAAGCAGTCTCTCGTGGAGAAATGACAAGCATCTGAAAAACAACCCACTCCAAGAATGTTAAGCACACTCCAAAAAAATTACCTCTTCTGGGCTGGGGCTGTAGCTCAGTGGTAGGGCGCTTGCCTCACACGAGTGAGGCACTGGGTTCGATTCTCAGCACCACATTAAAAAAAAAGTACTTATAAAAAGATATTGTGTCATTTACAACTAAAGAAAAGAAAAATCACCTCTTCCCTCCCCTTTCCTCTCTCTTCCTGCTTGTTGTCTGGCTTTCAAAGGAGACAGAGGAAGACAAATGCCAGTGGATATTCTCAGGACATTTGAATGGTTATTTATTGAGAAGCCACAGTTTCCCACACTTTCATAACTGTAGGCTTTATATAAGGCAAAAGCAAGATGGATCCACTACTTTACACAGGAAGAGAGCGCTCTGCAGCTGACCTCAGGGTCGTGCAGTTACAGATCAAAACGCAATGTACATGACAGATATAAAAAACAGTGTGGAACAAAATAATTTAAATTATGATTACAGTCTACAGAGGGAAATATCCACATCTTATTATAAACACATTTATAATCTAGGGTTGTCATTTAAATATTCAGGTGGGTTTTTTTTACATACACAGTTATTGAAACATAAAAGCAAAATGTTAACATTTAGGATGATAAACTTTATGACAGAAGACAGTTACTCTGAACTGTGCTCCATGCTAAGTCATGATGGGATTGCCCCCTTGCCGTGGCAATTAAGAGAATTAATCTGCCAGTATGTAGCCTTTTATGGCTAACTATATTGATAGCATATAGATGAAAGGATAGGCCAACAAGGATGCTAGGATTCCATTTTTTTAAAATATATTTTTTTTAGTTTTAGGGGAACAGAAAGAACCAAAAGTTGGCTATTGGGGCCTGGCCTTTGGTTTATTAAAAAAAAAAAGCAGATCTATGTGCTTAAATTATTTATGTACTCATTTAAATAACCAGCATCCACAAACATGAATCAAAGAAAAAAGTCTCCAGCATCCTCGCCTTCACATCCATTTATCTTCAATGTCTACACAGTTTGTGAATGAAGCATCATTTCACTTGGCTGGTAAGAGAGACCCGTCTAGCAGTTGGACTATGTATTCTCCATGAACAGTATTTAAAGAATGGTGCGCCATATTGCTTGTAAACATATAGACATGGAAATAAGGAAACCAATGGATTGGAAGGTCATTGCTAATCTTGGTACCACATAGCTAAAATGGCAATTGTATTGGTAAACATCTCATGGGCATGGTAGTTGACAGAAAATTCCCTAATGGAGTTAACTAACAGACTAAGGACATGCATTGATTACAGGACTGTCCCAGTGGACTTGAAGGACCAAATGGTCTAATCATCTTCTTCATCTTCCTCGTCGCTGTCTTTCATGCTGATCCCCTGCAGGCCCCCACCCTCGCTCACTGAGGCCGTGGCTTCTTCTACAGTGAGCCGGTTCCGGATGGTCTCGTAGGTCTTGCTGTTCAAGGTGGAATCCAGGACCCCTTGCAATCGGAAATCTCTATAGGTTTTCTAAGGAGGGAAAAGATGAAATGAAATGATAAGGGAGATATCGTCTCCAAGGTGGGTAGGGAGAGGATGCAAAGCAGGTGTGACCTTCTGCTAAATGTCACTCTTTATGCATTGCTAGATAAAAAGCCACCGTGCTCAGATTTCACTTGTACTGAAAACTGAGATTCATTAAATGACAGAAAATGAGAAACTGTGACAGGATAAACTGTATTAGATGAGACAAAGCAAAGAACATAAGCTTGTGTTTATTTAATTCCATAAAGGGAAATGTTCCATGATTGTTTTGGTTCTTTTTTTTGGGGGGGAGGGAGGGGGTCTGGTTCTTTCTCTTAGGTTCGTATAAAATAATATGATCGACAGTGTTAAGGGGCTATAATGTATAAATAATGGATCCAGTGATTATGGTATTTTATTATTTCAGTTACAGTCTGGTCTTTGGAATTTTTGAGTCTTATAATTGCATGAGCCATATCCCTCTGTCTCATTCACAAGATAGACATATGTATATTGGTATATGAAACCTATTACGGGCAGCAACAATTATGGGCAAGATGGAGCGCTAATGCCTCATCAATATGGTGCAAGCATGTGACTCATTTCTCATCTCCTTGGGAAAGAACTGTATTGATTCTGTTCACAACTTTATGCTCTCAGGGAAGAAATTTGGCTCTTTTTCAAGAACAATGGTTTGGGATTACTGTACCACAAGTTCTTTCTTTGTTCCTTCAGGCGATTTCTTTCGGATTTCCTTAGGTATCCTAAGGACTGTTTTGCTAGAAATCCCTTAGTGTTAATTGAACATGACCAGAAGCATCTGGCTGTTGTCTACTTCATAATATTTTTTTTTAAAAAAGGTCTCTGTTTAACTACAATTCTGCTCATCACACTGCCTATCATTTTAGCTACTGATTCTGCTGTTTGCTTCTCCTATTGATATAGGAAATTTGCTAAAGGGGCCAGAGAAGGAGTGTTAACCTGTTTCAGTATCACTCTTGCCATTCTTTCTTTTTTGGTAGAGGGATTGAACTCAGGAGCATTCAACCACTGAGCCCCATCCCCAGCCCTTTTTTTTGTATTTTATTTAGAGACAGGGTCTCACTGAGTTGCTTAGCACCTTGCTTTTGCTGAGGCTGGCTTTGAACTTGCAATTCTCCTGCCTCAGTCTCCCAAGCCGGTGGGATTACAGGCCTGTGTCACTGTGCCGGACCATTATTTCTATTTTCAATAGTCATCCAATGCAGTCACAGTGTTAGCAATCGCAAGGTCAACCTCCTCTGAAGGTCATACATTATGATGACCGTAGAGTCAATGACAGCTTGGCTTAGAGAAGCCCCATAATGTAAGATTATGTGCAAGATGGCTATGTTCCCTCTTTGCTATTTTATGCCCAATGCTCCAGCAGGATTACCCATAGAGCCTTCCTTCCCTCTTAATACGAACTGAGTGTATAAGGTCGACCCAAATCATGGATCAAGCTGCAGGTTTTCTGAAGAGGAGGACGAAGCAGCCAGGTCAGTGCCTGAATGGTGTCTCCGCCTTGAGCGCGATAAGGCGGGAAAATGAGTGGATCAACCGGAATTTTTGAACTTTTCAATCAGATAGTCTATGGCCACTTAGAATGCCATAATTGTTGCCAAAACCGGAGAGAAAAAATAAAGCTAAAACAGCTCTAGCATTTCTCCCCTTTATACAAATTCCAGAGCAGTGCGCTCCCCGACCGGACTCCGAGTGCCTAAGGGTAAAGGCCGTGTCTAGTCACTTTTGAATCCTCCATCTGGTGATACACGGGGAGGGGCTCGCCTCATCGTACCCAGTGTTGGATGAATGAATACATGCTTGCTGAATAATGAATGAATGGATGAATAAACGGGGTGTCTGTTGAGACAAGAAAGAAAGCCAAATATCCTTGGAAATTTGCCCTGGAGAAGGAGACCTCTGGGTCACGGACTTGGCACAGAGGTGGCAATTCTGTTTCCTACCCCTGTGTCACGGCCTTCATTCAGCTGGGCCCGGTTTTGGTGAAAGTGAAGGGACTCCCGTGGCATGACCTTTCCGTGTTGTCCCTCTTGTGATTCGTGTGTGCGCGCATGCATGTATGTGCAACCGAGTGTGTTTGGCAGATGGTGAACATTAAGGCTTCTCTCTGACATATCTTTTCTTAATTAAATAGGGTGAATTCTCAACAGAGACCTGGAAATACCAGTGATGGGGAGATCATTTTTAAGGTATTCTAAATTATGTCTTCTTTTCAGGTCAAACAGAAAATCTGACCCCAACTCTGCCCAGGCATATTCATACTCAGAAAATGGAATTCAAGAGGTTAGTGAGTTTGCCTTAAAGAAGCAAAGAAAATAAAAAAATAAAAAAAGGGAAAAAGACAGGTTCATAGTTCAAGTGCATACGTTTCTTTTTAAAGAGCTACAGTACTCTTGCTGCCTGTAACCTTTCCTGGGCAGACGCTCTGTGAGATCAAATGCAGATGATGATAACTCTCCTTAATTACACACAACCAAACAGTAATTGGTTGTAAGTCAGCACTGGGGTCCAGGAGTACCTTCAGGGGGGTAGTTGCTAATCCAAAAGGGACCAGGAAATGGGGGTGGGGGTGAGTGCCGGGAAAACTTTTGGCACACTGTTAAAAAACCCCAGCAATTCAGCTACCTTGAGGGTTCAAGTATTTTAAAAGAGACTTTGTGCTTTGAATAGGAGTTTTGCATACGAATGTTTTAAAACCCTCCACGGGTGAAGCATCAAATGGAAACTGAAATGATCAAAAACGTATTTACCCCCTTCTGTGATCTTATTATTTCATGTAAACCACTGAGATTTCACGCTGAAATAATTATCATTAGTTCAAGGCACACACACAAGAACAGGGAAAAAAAGCTACTTTGAGGGTATGTTATCTCACCTTTGTGATCCTTTACATTTGATTGTATACACGCCTTGGAAGAGACACTACTTCAATTAACTATGAGAACAATATTGATTTGCATTCTGATAATGATCACAGGACATCTTTAGAAATAGCTGGAGGTAAATATTTCCATTAAATTAATTGTGGCAAAATTTTATTTAATTAAACCATAAGTGAAATTCGTAATTTATGTGATTAGCATCAACGGCACCCAAAGCTAGCTTTTAAAATCTAAAGCAAGGGAGATGGCCTCTGTTGTAATTTTAAATGGCAAATACATAAAATAATTTTTCTATCTGGATAAAGATATCAAATTCCTTTTTATTAAAGTCTAAATAAAAATTAACCAGGCATCACAAAGTGATTTCATTGGTTTTTCTTATGGGAGATAACTGTTTTAGAAATCATCTTGTATGTATTTTATATGTATGTAGATATTCTTTGTGTTAAGGAAGTTCTGCAGCTTGGGAATGAAATGTATTTCAGTAAGGTATTTGCAAAGGAGAATAATTATTTTTTTTTCTTTTACCTTTACCATCCTAATTAGTGTTTTCAACTGATATATGTGAAGCTGTAGGTCCATCCGGTCTGTCAACCAGGTGCAGATGACGTTCATAGAGCTGTTGTACCATTGCTGAAAAAGAGACAGAAGTTCTCCAGCCAACGCATCGTGGAGCGCTGACGGGGCAGACAGGGAACAGACCACGTTTGAGCACCCTGCTCTGTTCCAGGAGGAAACAAAGTGGTTAAAGAGAGTTTGCAAGCACAGAGATCATGAACATTAATTTACATAAAGCCGCCAGGTGCTGGATGGGTCTAAATGAGAGCGGTGTGGACTCAGAAGCTAAGGTAGAACTCCGCTACTCTAGACATTCCAAACATAGTCCACCTTTTGCTCTTCTGATTCTCTTTGGAATTGGTTTACTTTACTCAGCTTTGATTCAAAGCATTCCTGATTTCCTAATGCTATTGTCTCCGATGTCCAGAGAAGTGGGGGCTTCTCCACTGAACTATTTAATGTGCATTGCAACTTACCTTTGGAAAGCCCTGGACTTCTGTCTGCTAAGTACAATTCTGGGAATCAGGCTGAGAGCCTTATGAACTGGGGGAGACGTTTACCTCCATTTACCCAATTGGAGTGTTTCTGATAAAGACAATGAATGATTATTTCTCTTTAAGGGCCAAACTCTACTCTGGGCAGCCCATGTGCCCTTATATTGGCTGTGCAATCTGTTTTAATGTTAACACCAAAAAATTATGGAAGAAGAAGGGGAAAAAAACCCATTTACAAATGAGCTCATTTCAAGCTGTTGAAATCATACTTCCCCTTAAGGGGGTTAAATTTTGCTTCTTGTCTGTGAAAAATGCTTGAAGCTGTGTCACTTTAGACTGCCACCCCTGTGGTGCAGGAAGTCTCTGGTGCAGTATAATTTTGCAGTACTGCTCATATATTCATAAATCTCACTCGGAGACATATGAACAGTGTTATGAAGTGTCAGTATGAAAAAAAATCTAATCTTTTAAACTTCACCAGGTTTCATTACGCTCTGCTGCTTATACCAAACAATTTACAAATAAACTGAAAAGGTGTGGACGGACCTATATATTTATTTATAGGGCATCTATATGAAGCGTGCACAGAAAAGAGGCAAAAAAAGAAAAAAAGAAAAGAAAAAGAAAAAGAAAGAAAAAAGTGGTTAGAGAATTGAGAGGAAGCACACTCTCATGCTAACCAATACACACACACCACACTCACATCACACAGCAGTGGGGACTCAGAAAGCATAAATAAAAACATGTTTCCGATGGTAACTCCACCCTTTCTCACCTAAAGATCATCCAAAATCAGTTTATGCCTAACACTCACAGTTTTTCTGAAGCCTTGTTTCTGACTTAATTTCTTAAAAAAAAAATTAATTTGGGTTTTTACTTGCAAGGTAGAACTGCCAAGTTTCACCTTGCAAGAAACGACACAGTCTCAGCCATGGCATCCAGAAGCCCTCTTTGCAATCTCTCTCCTAGCTAGGCTCCTTGCTCATCAGAGCCAATTGTGGCTCTCTTTGGAGCCCAGCCGCAACAGAGACCACACTACCCCAATCGAGGCAGCACTGAAGCCTCACAGCCAACTCCTGCTCTTTTAAAGATCATGGAGGCGAAACTGTCAGTTTTAGGAACCTTCTGTCCCTCCCCAGGGAGCAGGCGGGTGGGGGATTTTTTTTTTTTTTTGGTGTGCGTGTGTGTGTGTGACATGTACAGTTCACCCCATGGAGAGGGGAGAGATGGCTAGGGTCAGTTTTCTTCAGGCATGGACAGGTTTTCCCCTCTAGGGGTGAGAATATTTTACTGAAACTTTTTTTTTGGTGGTGGTTGGTGGTGGGGGAGTGTTTTTGGCACCTCCTGCCTTGGGATTCTGGAGCATTTGCTTCTATGGCATCTGGGTTTGTTAAGAAGGGGTCTGGAGACAGGGCTGTCATGGGTCACAAGTGTTTGTGCAGCCTAACCTTACTCTAGGCAACTGGGGACTCTCCTGGGCTCACCCCAGGCCTCAAATTTCATCTTTGTTTGCTGAATCTGATGATTTTGAGAGTCAAAAAAAAAAAAAAAAAAAAAAAAAAAACCTCTGCCTTTGACCTTGGCCTCCTGGGGTTGGAAGATGACCTTCAAAACAACCTTGGTGACTTCCTGGCCAAACTACAAGCTCAGGGCTTCATGATGGATACATCTCTGGGACACAAAAGAGGAGTGTGGCACTCTGGCTTCTAGGCAGAGGTGGCATTTTGCTTTGGCTGTGACAACAGACAAACCGGCGCTGGCTTATATCACTGCCAGCAAGCCTTGTGCAACATGCCTTTTTTCTCTTTGCTGAGAGACGTGCCACCTTTCAGGAAATTAAAAAAAAAAAATAGCACCCCCCCTTTCATTTTATATAGGCAGTTCCCACTCTTGTACGTGGTTTTAAAATAGTTAAAAAAACACACACAAAATAAATAAAAATACAAATAAAAAGGTAGCCTGCTATCAAGCATCTTGCTCTGCTTCTGGAAGGGTAGGGAGGTAGGGAAAGTATACAGCAAGGGATCAGTGCCTCACACGCAGATTCCCACCCCAGGAGAACAAGAAAACCCTGGAACATCCATGCTTTTTCTCCTGGATCTCACATCTAGCAAAAGAAGTGTAAAAAATGTATGATGCCCCATTGGCTGCACATTTAAAGAGGCAAAAGGGAGTAAGTCACTCCTTTCCAAACCTTATGCTCAGTAGATGAAATTGGAGGCACTTTTGGAATCAGCACAGAGCTAACTTGGTTTTTCCAGAAAGGCGCTTAAAGGCATTTGGAAGTCGGAGAAAGCAGGAGGCGCTGCCTTCTAGAACTTTAAAAATGTTAGAGGTAAAAGGGATCTTCCAGAGTACCCTTGGGAGAGGAGGCGAGGACAAGTGACTTGTCCAAGCACACACTGAGTGATGCCAGAAGCGGCAAGCTCTCCAGTGGACTGAAATAGCAGACCATCCATTCCTCCCCCTCCCCCCCACCATGCAGATACAGTCACATGCTGGTCCTGAGAACTGGCACCATGCATCTCCTCCCAAGTCCACATTTAGGGACACACGCGGACAGTTAGAAACAGGCCACAGAGGAGGTTTTTACACCACAGACATTGGCAAACGCCACAGACCAGGGCTTTCTCCCTCCTAGAAAGCCAATTGTTAAATATTTATCAGTGAATTATCGGGTGTCTGAGTTATTCTTGCTCTTCCTCGTGGGGCTCCCAGTGCTTATTAATCAGGGTTGCTTTATTTGAGATCAATGCTAATGCAGCAGATTTGTTATGATTCTTCAAAAGACAAAATTCATAAAACATTTTAAGTTCTCCCCATTTTGTTTTTGTCTTTGGTTCGGATATGCCTTTTCTGGAGCTATCCTAACACCTGGGCACTAAATTTTTGATAAACTGTACTCTAAATGGGAAGGAAAAAGAATTGCGAGCCAGCGACATGCACTAAGTATTTAAGTCGAATCAGACTTCTTGGTTGCCTTCCCTAAATTCAGGTATATTAATTCAAAACTTCCTGAGTAAGGTTATTTTAATCCTAAAAAAAAAGAAAAAAAAAGAAGAAAGAAAAAGCAGTAGAGAATAAAATCTGCAGTAGCCTGAGCTTCTTTAAAATATGTCCCTGGGGGGATGAATCTGTGACGGTTTTCCACTTGGAACCCAAAGAGATATCCATCACATGTATGGTCCCTGGGTTTCAGGGCCCTTGAAAAGCTGGATCTTCTCCAGCAGCTGCAACTCCATCTGAAGGTTCTATTTAAAGGGAGCTGGGCTGGGTGCCGTGGTGAACGCCTGTCATCCTAGTGGCTCAGGAGGCTGAGGCAGGAGGATCCCAAGTTCAAAGCCAGCTTCAGCAGCTTGGCAAGGCCCTAAGCAACTCAGTGGGACCCTGTCTCTAAATAAAATATAAAAAGGGCTGGGGATATGGCTCAGATTTGTACCAGGTTCAAATCCCTGGTACAAAGTAAATAAATAAATAAAAATAAAAAGATCTGGAAGGCTGATCAAAATCCTTACCATTTAATTCTTTTCTACTTTTTACAGGTTGGTGGTTAAAAGCACAGGCCCTAACACACACCAGAGTTTATGATCTAAAGCAAGTTACTTACAATCTCAGTGACTCAGTTTCCTGATGAAAATGGGAACGGAACAGTTTTTTCTAGTCTTTTTCTGATGAGTAAATAAAGTAATGCTCATGCATCATGGTAATTGGCTGCCATAAATGTGAGCCCCCTACCACTGTCGTCACTATTACTGTCTCCTCCCCCACCTCAACTGCCACCATCATCATTTCTCATTTATTTTTTTCTGTCTCTCAATCTAAGAGATTAAAAAAAAAAAAAACCCTAAGGGAGAAAGCAGACTGTTTCGATAAGACTTATCAAACACAGAGTAACTCTTAGCGATGCAATTCTGTTGGAAAATCATGCCGTGGTAGATCATCACCCAAACCTATCTTGGGTGCATACAGCACATTTTAAATGATACTGTTCTGGATTAAAGTCTTGGGTTAAAAGGATTCAAAGAATGAGTGACTTCTCAAACCCCATGGTGATAAGTACAGCTTCCGCCAGGGCTGGCGACTTATTATCTGGATAACCTCAAGCAAACTGCTTAACTCTCTGACCCTTGGTCTCCTCTTGGGGTTAATGCCATACCTACTTCATAGGATTAGTGTGAGCATTAAAAGAGATAATTTATGTAAAGTGCCCAGTACAGTGACTACCACATAATAAGCACTCAATAAAATTTAGCCATCACATGACTCTCAGAAACATAATATGGACTTTCAAGTTTGTAACAAAACATTTTTTTTTCCCTTGGTCCATTTCTAATAGAAGTTGAGGTCAGTGACAGGCAGATATACTCAGGTCACATATTCTGCCTGCAAACATACTGACTTCATATGGAGGAATCCTTACACATGACATGTCTCTTTGTAGCTTCAGGCTTCACTACCTCCAGGATTAGTTTGAGGCAGTGAAACACAATTGTGCAAAAGCAGGATTGAATACTGACTTTAATTACAATTTTGATATTTCATTCACCATGGATTCTTTTGCATTGATTGTGATTTTTAAAA